ATTTTTGATCAACTGTTTGTGATCAACTGTGCATAATGCTAAATTTTAGGAGGGACTGAGTGCTTATCAGAAATACCTCAATGGAATGTCAGAACCGACAGACCTACACAAAAGGACAACCATATCTGAGTGAGCTTTATATATAAAAGGGTTTGTGTGCTGAGACTAAAATGAAAAAGAGAGAGGTAGTTGTGGTGAGTTAAAAGAATTGACGAGAGTTGTGTTAGGATTAATAGAATACGAGAATCCTGTTCCAAACATCTAAAACCCGACATACCACACAATCTATTAGTTCTCAATTCTTTCGAGACTAATATTGAAAAAGGCAAAGCCAAGGCCAATTCTTGTCACAACCCCACCAGCTACTCATTTATATCTTAACAGATAAGTGTTTCAATAACACTTGGTGCACGCAGCTCATCATCTATCAATTTCTCATTCGGAGAAAGTTGATATTGAATCAGAAGGATATATATCCCCCCTTCAAGTTTTTTGATCACTAATTGAGTCTGATAAATTTGTGTAGTCCACACGGTTTATCTTTTTGAGCCTAAAGAGAAGCATACTTTGCTTTATCTTTCTACACTACATAGATTTTGCATTTTATATCTTATTTTGCCAAAACATTCATAGATATGCTATTATTAAGCTATCGATGATTGGATGGAAGACCTGGTGAGATGAGCATAAAAAAGTCTCATATATACAGTACATTCGTTGTATTGAGTATATCTGTTATACTCACAGGCCAATCTTTTTATAAGATTGAAAACAATTTCATTCGTTGAAATTGGTTGTTACCTTCTCATTCCCTTAATCTGAAAAGATTAAATAAGTGGATTTGCAAAGATCTACTTACAATTTCATGAATTGACGGTTTACGCAAAGGATTTCATTCATTCTTGTGTATGATGAAATGATTCTCATTTCATCATAAGGGGGAGTATGTAATAATGAATGAAATGTCCAATTCCGAACATTATAAGGGGAATTTGATGTAAAGATTAAGGGGGAGTAACATCAAAATTGGCAAAAGACTCAAAAGAAGTGCGACTGGAGATGATTACAGAAAATTATTCCAATGCTAAAATGACTGAGAGATGTTGAATGTGAAGATCCATTTTACAACAGTTTACTGAAGATCAATTCTGAAGTTCGTTATTGTTTCTGATCTACATTAGAAAAAGAGAATATCATCGTTGTTCTACATTCGAGGGAGAGAATGTTAGAAGATCTTTCTCAACAAATGATTGTCTGAAGATTTCATGTTGAAGATTGTTTTTTGAAGAAGACATAGTGTGTTTAAAGCTTCAAAGTTCAAACGAGACTCACAATTTCTTTCAAGTCTGAATATAAAGGGAGAGAATGTTAGGAATGACATTTAGTGTAAAATTGTATTCGTCTTGAAAGATAAAATTATCTATAATTGTAT